CTGGCACAAAAACAGACACATAGATCAATGGAACAGAATAGAGAGCCCAGAAATAGACCCTCAACTCTATGGTCAACTAATCTTCGACAAAGCAGGAAAGAATATCCAATGGAAAAAAGACAGCCTCTTCAACAAATGGTGTTGGGAAAATTGGATAGCCACATGCAGAAAAATGAAATTGGATCATTTCCTTATACCACACACGAAAATAGACTCAAAATGGATGAAGGATCTCAATGTGAGAAAGGAATCCATCAAAATCCTTGAGGAGAACACAGGCAGCAACCTCTTCGACCTCAGCCGCAGCAACATCTTCCTAGGAACATCGCCAAAGGCAAGGGAAGCAAGGGCAAAAATGAACTATTGGGATTTTATCAAGATCAAAAGCTTTTGCACAGCAAAGGAACCAGTTAAGAAAACCAAAAGACAACTGACAGAATGGGAGAAGATATTTGCAAATGACATATCAGATAAAGGGCTAGTGTCCAAAATCTATAAAGAACTTAGCAACAAACTCAACACCCAAAGAACAAATAATCCAATCAAGAAATGGGCAGAGGACATGAACAGACATTTCTGCAAAGAAGACATCCAGATGGCCAACAGACACATGAAAAAGTGCTCCACATCACTCGGCATCAGGGAAATACAAATCAAAACCACAATGAGATATCACCTCACACCAGTCAGAATGGCTAGAATTAACAAGTCAGGAAATGACAGATGCTGGCGAGGATGTGGAGAAAGGGGAACCCTCCTACACTGTTGGTGGGAATGCAAGCTGGTGCAACCACTCTGGAAAACAGCATGGAGGTTCCTCAAAATGTTGAAAATAGAACTACCCTATGACCCAGCAATTGCACTGCTGGGTATTTACCCTAAAGATACGAACGTAGTGATCCGAAGGGGCACGTGCACCCAAATGTTTATAGCAGCAATGTCTACAATAGCCAAACTATGGAAAGAACCTAGATGTCCATCAACAGACGAATGCATAAAGAAGATGTGGTATATATACACAATGGAAGACTATGCAGCCGTCAAAAGAAATGAAATCTTGCCATTTGCGACGACGTGGATGGAACTAGAGGGTATCATGCTTAGCGAAATAAGTCAATGGAAGAAAGACAACTATCATGTGATCTCCCTGATATGAGGGAGAGGAGATGCAACATGGGGGGTTAAGGGGGTAGGAGAAGAGTAAATGAAACAAGATGGGATTGGGAGGGAGACAAACCATAAGTGACTCTTAATCTCACAAAACAAACTGAGGGTTAATGGGGGGAGGGGGCTTGGGGGGGTGGGATTATGGACATTGGGGAGGGTATGTGCTATGGTGAGTGCTGTGAAGTGTGTAAACCTGGCGATTCACAGACCTGTACCCCTGGGGATAAAAATATGTTATATGTTTATAAAAAATAAAAAATAAATAAAATAGGAAAAAAAAAAAGATGTGGGAGAACTGAGGAATTTCATGGGTCTGTTATAATATAAGAACATGAAGGTCTCCATGTGTCTGCAAAGGCTTTTATTTCTAAGGAGCAAGGAAGCATACTGTAGATTTAAAAAGAAGAGAAGCATATAGAAGACATTTATTCAAAAGTATTTGCTAGGGTCTTATTATGCTATGTTGAGGTTACATTTCAGACTTCAGACTGTAAGCAATTTCACTTGTCTTCACAGAGGTTAAGCATGTGCTTGCTTGAGTCAGAATGCCTTGGCTTGGATTCTGCCTCTGCCACTTATAAGCTGCTTGATATGGTACAAATTACTAAATGTCTCTGAGCTTCATTTTCCACGTTTGTCAAATGGGGATAATATTAGAATCCACTTCATAGAAATGGAATGAAAAATAAAAGGGGATAACTGAGACATGTTTAGCACAATACCTGCACAGAGTATGCATTTATAGAACTGTTAGCTAATTTGTTCAAAAAAATGAACCTTGCTCTCTAAGACAAAAGGCAAAGACATTTCTAGGGAATTAAAGGGTTTTGTTCTGAAACAATTGCAGTCTTGTTTTTATTTTTGGAAGTGATTCTTATCATATTCCATATAGTCCAACACCTAAGCTTTCATTCCAACGATCTAAAGAGACAAAGGGCCTTGGATACAAATCCAAGTACTTGTGAATCTGATTTAGAATGGACTCTTCCCCCCCCCAAAACAAAAGGAAAACCATCCAAAAACATCAGTAAATAAAAAAAATAAAAACAAAATAATGAACCAAAAACTATCAATCAGAAAATTAGGAAATCAGGGCTATTCTAAAGTTAAGATGATGGCACGTTGAAGCAGAGGCTCTTACTCTTCCAGTCCCATTCTGCTATTCTATCAGAATAACTGAACATTTATTTGGCATGTAGCCATCCAGAAGACATAGTACATGCTTAGGCTTCCCTGCACCTAAGTGAGACCATCTAACTGGGTTGCAGTCAGTGAGATTTAAGCATCATATGGCAGCTAATGGGGACCTTCTTGAAGAGAACACTGGCACAGGGTTTTGCCTCTGCCTTTCTCATCCCTTCTTCTTCTCTCTGGCTGGCATGAGGACGTGGATGGCAGGTTTCTTGATCTGGTTGGTGACTAAGATGCTTTTAACATGGGTTTTGTATTGTACATAGCCAAATCTAATTCTAAAGTAAGCAATTAGGAATGTCTAGTGGTCTCTTCCTACATTTGTACTGAAATACAGCAATACATATAGAATTTAGACAGCTCTGGGACTAGGAATGTAGTCATTGAATCCATTACCCTTGGAAATGGGTACATGGTCACAGAGTCTCAAGAAGCCTGACTAGCCAAGGTGCAGACAGCAGTCATGATTAGGAGGGTAAGTTATAGGTGAGTTTTTTCTTTTCTTTGGGGGGAAGGGGTGTCAGTGTGAAAAGCATTTCCATAAAAAAAGCAAGTAACACACGTAGATTTTTCCTTTCCTTTACACTTTCCTGGGTTTTCCAAAAATTGTTAATGAGCATGTGCTACTTTTGTTTCAACAACAAAAACCTATTTAAATGCACAAATAAAAATGATGTAAGAGGGGGTTGGGTCGGGGAATGGGTGAAATAGATAAAGGGTATTAAGACTGCATTTATCCTGATGAGACTGAGAAATGTTTAGAATTACTTAATCATTATATTGTACAGTCAAAATGAATATAACATGTATGTTACATACATGTATAACAAATATGTTAATTATGTTCCAATTAAAAAATGATGCAAAAGTTTTAATAGTTTATTCACACTGCACCTGGAGTGTTTTGGGCTGCTTGATCTCTACCTCTCACCTCTGATGGTCTGAACCTGGCCTACTATTGAAATTACATTTAAATAGTCAGCTTTTCAATATCTTTTATTGGGGGGAGGTAATTGCTCTTTCCCTAAATCCCAATATCATTTCTGGCAACATGTAATACATCACTTTTTACATTTTACTGTTGCCACTAATACACATATCTCATATCTCCAAGAATATTATGAGGTTATCTGGAGCATATACAATTCTTCTTCGTCTTCATACTTACATATTCATTTGTTCATTCATGTGTTCACTCAACTGACAACAGATTATTAAATATTTCTCTATGATACATAAGATATTATACAAGCAACAAGGATATATGAGGGAAAAAATAAAACTTGTTCTGCACATTCAAAAAATGATCAAACTATGGATAAGAGAAGACAGTGTGGCAAGTAGGTAAATTTAATACAATGTGATCAGTTCTAGGGGAGAGGATTGTATACAATGATAAAGTGACAGAACATTTAATTCTACTTGAAGAGAATCAGGCCCCCACAGAAGGAGTGACTCTTGGATTCATTCTTTATGAAGACTCACAGGCATCTTCAGGCACGTGAGTGGATGGACATTGTGGGGAGAGGAGGGCTAAAGAATTACACGTCCCCCCAGATTGTGAAAATAGATTACAAGCAGCACAGTTCTGCTTTGTGTGGTTGAAAGCACAGGGTCTGAGGGGAGTTTTGAGAGGGAGTTTTGAGAAGGAGCTTCAAATGTCCCATTTCCCCCCACTGCTTCTACCACAGTGTTGACTGAATAAACCTTTGTTCACTATTACAGCCATAAGTATGGTCCAGCAGGCGCTATGACGCTACACTGGTTGACCTGACCATGCCTTATAGATATTTAGGGGACAGAAAGCCTGGCTATGTTACAGAACTGTAATATGCTGCCTCAATCTCCTCATTTCCACAGACAAGGAGGCTGAGCTAATGTTTTAAGTGATTATAATGTGACTTTCAGAAACAAAGGTTATCAGTAAATGTCTAGGTTATTGCTATTTTCTTAGCCGGTGTTAAAAAGCTTGACTGAATACAGCATGAGTGGCTACCCTAATGGTATATTCTCATCGTCCATAAGGAACAAGTCGCTCAAACTGGGTTTCCTTAGCATAAAATTATTTATTTCACTGATCAATTTGAAATAAGTGAACAGTGTATTACACGATCATGAGAGGGGAGGTTATAGGCTGGATTGAGAACAATAAAATTGAATACTGTAAATATTTATTGATCACAGTAAATAGTATACTATTTTCTTTCCTTAGAAAATACAAAGAAAAATTAATACCCCATATTATTAGATTTGCTCACAGAGATGTAGAAGCATATCTCTAAAGGCTTTTTGCAAACTGTAAAGCACTATAATAACATGATTGACTTTTCAAGAGTGTAGCTTGAGGAATTAAATGATTGCATTCAACAGAAAAGGAAATCACATTCCAAATGGCAACTAGCACTATTTTTCTACTTGCAGGAATTTTCTAGCTTCTATTTCAAGCACTGTTTTAATAAGTGCCAAGTATTTATAATAGATTTTTTTTTCCTTTTTTAAGGAAGAGGTACTACTGTGTTTTCTGAAACTTTGTTTTGATCTACAGCATTCTAAGTAAACTCCACTGTGCAAGGGACAAGGAGCAAAACTGTCATCAACACACAGAAATCAGGGTCTAAAAAGAAAAGAAGTTCATTTCATACCTTCAATAGGTTTTGGTACAAAATGTGATGAGGGCTTGGTTTTCTTCACTCTGTTTCCCTTCATAATTTGACCTTCTTTATTGAGTCCCAGAAACCATGCTCGGCCTGATTCTTGCTGACGGTACAGTGTGGAAGAATAAATCACATAGTAGTTTTCAAATACAGATTCCTTGAATTTGCATTCTGGAGTGAAAACATCCTGCAGAGGAAAAGAAGATACAAAAGAGAGAAAGGTTTTAAAAGTGAACTTGCAAATTTTTAATGCAATGAACTTGAAATATAGGTCCTACATTAAGAACAAACCAAAGGCAATTGCACATCATTTCTAGTGGCACTCAGTTACAAAGATTCATCGTACAAAATCAAGAAGCAAGATTTCCCTTCTAAACGACCTTTACTTCACAGAACACAGCCCCAGAATCGAATCACTCATTGGACTAACAGCATTCAAGGCTGTGCCCAGGTTTGGTCCCAGTAAAATATTTTGTAAATTTAAGAGATAGACTACTGCACATTTTAGAGGCCCTTACCATGTACAATGTATCCCTGGGAACCAAAATCAAATACAACCGCGCACACCGGCTCGCAGATGTTTCTGAAGGGACTACCTTATATGTACACAAATCTATTATGCAGTCAAAATTTGTTCCATAAAATCACAGGTGTATTACCCTTTTGCTTAATGTCAGTAACTTTTCATTTAATCTCTTTATAACATTTTTTAAACTTGATAATCAAAATTCAGGCAACATACCCAGGGATAACTGTAGAAAAAATATTACTACTATATTGTGTGATCTTCAGTAAAACATAGAATAAGAGTTTTAATTCAAGAAGGAAACTTAATTCCTTCCACCTCACCATTGGATAAGTAAGACAACTAAATGGTTATCTAATGAATTCAAAGTTACACACACACACACACACACACACACACACACACACACACACTGCTGCATCAATGCCAGAGCTCACATTTCATGCTTCACAGTCACTGCCTCTCAAGATCACCTTTCTGCCTAAGTCTTGTTTAGTGACTTACAATGAGATTTTATAATCAATACAATGAAATCAAATTCTAACATGTCAAATGGACAAAGTATATTTCACATAATGAAGAAATTCCTTCCCTTCTAAGATAGGCAGAAGAAAAACAAATGTGATAGCATCTTCTTCAACTACATGTAAATAAGAATCCTATAAGAGAAACACATTCACAATTGCCACTGCTGTCTTTGCCATGTACTTGAAAAATCTCTCCCTTGTAACCCTTTAAGTGTAAGGGCCCAGTGGTTTAATGCAGTTACACCTGCAGTTAAGTTACTGAAGAATATGCCGGACTAACACTGGGTTAAAACATGTCCTGCTAGGAGATACAGACTAGTCCCCTGGATTCATCTGCAGACAGCTACAGTGGTGCATCGATGGATGTTGGTGAAGGCCGTCAGTGATAAAAAAACACTGCTTAAGAGACTCCCTTTTTTTTTTTTTTAATTATTTAACAGACAGAGATCACAAGTAGGCAGAGAGGCAGGCAGAGAGAGGAGGAAGCAGGCTCTCTGCTGAGCAGAGAGCCCGATGTGGGGCTTGATCCCAGGACCCTGGGATCATGACCTGAGCCGAAGGCAGAGGCTTTAACCCACTGAGCCACCCAGGCACCCCAGGACTTTTATAATTTTTTATAACTTTTAGGACAAAGTTTAATCATTGCCATGTAGAGGAAACAAAGTGATTCAATTCAATTTATAGGATAATTTGAAGCTCTGGTTTTCTTCCAGGACTGGGTTAAAAGACAGAAAATGCTAAAATTTACTATAGATTTTACTAGCTATATATTTTTTACTATTTATTTACTAGTATATAACTAGTAAATATATATATTTAGTTATATATATAACTAGTAATATATATTTACTAGTATATAACTAGTAAATATATATATTTAGTTATATATATAACTAGTAATATATATATATTACTAGTTAGTAAATATTATATATGTATATATATATTAAAAACAGACTAATCAAAATAATTTCACAGCTTTTGTTTCTAGGTCTAGCTCAGTACTAGTCAGCCCCAGATACTAAGGGACTCTTGAAAGTTCCATGAATAAATGAAACATAAGAAAATAAATATATGGGGCATGGAATTGTGTACAGATCTCATGATATATTGACACAACTTATTTATTTAGAAATATACTTCACAGACATGAAAACTTAGAGATAGATTCAAATCTGCTTAGTGATGGCTCAGTTTGGTGATTTTATTTAACAGAGTAACTGAAGATAGCTCCTGGGGGAGCTCAGTCCCTAAAGTGCCAGACTCTTGATTTGGGCTCAGGTGATGATCTCAGGTGGTGAGACGGAGCCCCACATCCAGCTCCAGCTCGAAGCCTGCTTACGAATCTCTCTCCATCTCGTCCCTCCACATGCATGTGCATGCCTGCACCCTCTCTCGTTCTCTCTCTCTGAAACCAAACAAAACCAAAGTAATTAAAGCCCATGATACTGATATAACTGCTCTGAGAGTCATAGGAAGTTACAGGGAGATCCAGGCATTGGGCTAGACCATGAGCTCCTGGCTGTTGGTTCAATACTTTTTGCAATGGCACACATTGATATCTACTGCATAACCAAGCCTGCATTTCATGCCAAGCTGCCAGTTTGAGACTAGCTGTCATAAAACCCATATTCACCAAAGATAATTACTACACTGTCTTCTATAAATAAGAAAAATAACACTTTTGTTTAGTAAATAAGGTTTCTTGAGTTCATTATTTACTAAATAAAAGTGTTATTTCTGTTTTGATATAATAATGCATTTTTGTTTTGATAATAATGAACAAGTTTCACAACTCTTTAAAGTCTGCTCTTGAAACAGCAAAAATGCAGGATATAAGGCAGGGACATGAGCCAGGAATAGCATTAGGCAGGGATTGGGACTCGAACTTCTGAGCTGGCAAGGTGAACCCCAGACAGAGCACCCAGGTCCTAATCGGACATGAAAAGTCAAGTGAAGTATCCCATTTAACATCATTCCAAAGGGGTTATGCAGAGTCAGAATTCAGAAATGAGTCAACTAACACTTGGACAGGGCAAAACATTTCAAGTGGAAAAAATGTCAGAAGCTAAGTGCACAGACAACCTTCTAGAAATGGTGAGAAAAGCTTATGAACACTGAGCAACCTGGATAATCACTCTAAGTGGAACCTTTACACTACTTACATAGTTTCAATATAATATGAAGGTGGATATCAAAGAATTTACAATATAGTTGCTGTTGCTCTCTTTTTGTGTAATGAGAAATGAAATGTCCTAGACTTAGAATAAGAAAATCAGTTTTGCTTCTGGATCCATACCTACTAACCATGGGACCTTAACTGAGTGATTAAACTTTGAATTTCACATTTGCAACTATAAATTGAGTTATTTTAAGGAAAGTAAAATGAAGAACATGGAAGCATGCTGTAAACTTTCAGAATTTACAAAACTCCAACTCATTATTCTTCTTAAGTTTTCACTTATAGCAAGAAAAATGTAATCAATCATGTAACTAGAAATTAAATCTGTGTTTTTGTCATAGAAGTTTCTATCTGTTCCAGCATGCAGAACCCTATGCTATAAGTTTTATCCTACATAAATTGTTCCCACTGTAGCTAAAACAAATTACACAGACACACATACTTTAAAAAAAATATTAAAACTTTCAGCAAACATCTGGACAATCACATATATTCAGATACGGATCTGAGGTTAAAAAAAAAATTGTGTTTGGAATGACAATAAATCTAGTGTGTAATGGAGACAAGTAGGCTTGGAGCCAAAGGTGGTAAAATCCTAGACTACCTAAATCCAAGACTACCTAAATCCAGTGCATATAATGAAAGCTTAAGAGTAAATAACAAGTGGAATCAGGAGGATTTTTTTCTATTTTTGAAAGACTAACCAGTAGTCATATTGCATCTTATGAATTGTGTTTATATTATGCCAAGAAATCAGTTCATTGTAGGTACAGAGCAACACTTGTAGAAATATTTGTTGATGAAACAAACATCTCCAGATACACATCATGTACATAGGTTTGTAAAATGCTGCTTACTCTTCACACTTATTACTCCAGAAACTTTCCAAATCTTAAAAAAAAAAAGTTAAAAATAAATCTTTCCAAATGTTAAGTTTATGCAGCTTGAGTTGACGTGAATTTCAGTGAAATATGAACAAGACCTTTAATAGGGTTCCGAAATTACTTCTGAGAACTCACTTCCTTAGCAGCATTTTTAATGAAAAACAACACTTTTTTTTGGTCTAGCATTGTACAAGTCATTATGTGACCAGTTCTTTTTCACGTTCCAAATACCTTCTCAATCTGCCTTGCCCTAGGAAGATAACAACACCCACCCATTTCCATCCAGATGATAAGGAAAATTGGAATATCTCTTAAGCTCAGGGCAACCACTCAGGATCCCTTCCAGTCTCACCCCATTTCCTCTGATTCTTATCTACTCTCTGTATGGTTCCTCCCTCTGATCCCCAACCTCATAATTCCATACTCTACTTTGATCTCTCTCCGCTATGCAGTTTCTTCCTTACTCTTCTCTCTGCATTGATATCCTGCACAGGTTCTGGTTTCTTCCCTCCAGTCTTGTGTCTGCTATTATCCAGAACGAGACCCTTCCTCCCCAGCCAACTGTAACTATTTTAGCCTTGGCCCTTCCCACCTCCTGGCATTCTCCTATAAACAGAAATACCACGAGGAATAAGGAGACATTTAGGGTATTTGATGGTTAAAATGTTATAGTTTTTTCATGGTTGACTATCACTGCCAATAATGTGTTTATCACCTATGAGTTCTTTGACATGCCCACACTTCCCAACACCAAATTCTACTTTGCTTAGGTTGTTCTATTTCTCTATCCAAGAGGACATGACAAATGCTCTTCTCAGCCATTATAGGTAATTGTGAACTTCTCCTCATTTAACTTCTCATAGTATTGGTTTTCGTGTTTTATTTTATTTTGTTTTGTTGCAGTATTTAATTCACTCTGCTTCTTGTATCATGTTTTTTCTTGTTCCTCTCCTAGACATTCTGAGCTTTGCTCACAAAACCATGTTACTCCTCACAGTTTATTAGGAAGTCCAGCATATTCAGCGCTCAATTTATTCTTGTTGAATTAAATCAAAATATTCTAAGTCA